TGCCTTACTCAACATCCCAAAAAGAACAAAAGGAAAAAAAGCTGACTCATCAGTATCACTTACCATTGCTACACTATGCGCTTGCCCGCCATGAGGCTCAGGTTTCCTGTTAATTCCACAGCAAATGACAAGACAGGCACAATAAAAAAATTTTAAAGCGGTTAAAAATGGTTTCCAAAAAAAAGTCACAATTTTAATGTGATTTCTTATGTGTTATGTAGGTTATATTGTTCTTAATCCTGAGCTTGCTTACAGGTTTTCGGAAGCTTTTGAGATGCTAATTCATATATTGTTTTAAACCCTAAGAAGAAACTGGAATAGTCAGCTACTGCCTTTATTAAAAAAAATAAAGATATATAGATAGCAGTTATTACCTATGTAATTTAGTAGAGGTAATTTCTAAAGGCTATGAAACAATATGACATTTCAGCATAACTTCAGTGTGTCCTCTACCATTCAGACAAAATGTTCATTGTTACAGAACATTTCAAACACTTAAAATTTTTCCTAAATAAAGTACTAATCAATCAATTGAAAAACATCTTTCTTAATTTCTGAGGTAGAAAATAGGCAAATATTAATTACTCCAGTCATGTCATAAAGTCTACTGCATAAGCAAATGGACCCCCACAGACAATGAGCTGAAACACCTGATCCAACCTTTTCCTGCGTCTGTGGTCCTTGCAAGGGCTATTATCTCTCAATTTGTCAAATAGTCTGAAGTATGGGACCTGAGCTTCGCATTGGAGTCCTAGATCGGACAATAGCTCTCTGAAAAACTGGAAGGTATGCCAAAGAAGCAGGAAGTACTGTTTCAGCTCATATTGTCCATGATAGTATGGGTCAATATATTACAACAATAATTTGCCATCTGAGAAATATATAACATGTAATACATAGTGGTAAGTATTTGATACTCCAGAGGGAAGCTCTCCTATTAACTGGAGAACATATGCAGAAACCAAGCACAAACCAGCCTGAGGAATGAGGTCACTATTTAAAGCAAAAATGGTGAGTGAATTTATGTGGCATTTGCACTCACATGATGCATTTGTAAATAAACATGGCATATTCTCACAAGAAGCTGCCGGAAGCGGAGACAGTGATGACAAACAACACAGTGTCAGAAGTTCAACTAGCTGACCTGAATTGAGAATGGAGACAGGATGGCAAACGCCAAATCATTTCAGTGGCAACCGTCCGAGGAATTTGACTTGACAAGTCTGGATGAATGGCCTCAATGGAAGTGGAGAATCGAACTGTTCTGTGTCATTAGTGGCCTCTCCATTAAACCTAAGTCAGAAAAGGTGAATGCCTCAATCTACTTTACGGTGGACACAACAGACAACATCTTCCCATAGTTGAATTTAACTTCCGTCAGGTGGCAAAGTATATATAAAAGACCTTTCAACATTCGAACGACACTTTATAGCTTGTTGTCGCATTACCTATAAAAAAAGCAAACTTTCACGAAAGAATCCAGCGAGAAGCGGAAGGCATCGAAGAGTTCATCACAGAACTTCATAGCCTTGTGAAACCTTGCTAACTTGGAGTGTTATACGAAGAGATGGTTAGAGACCATGTTGTAGTCAGAGTCCAAAAACTACCAGCTATCAGAAAGTGTGCAACTAGACCCGGGACTCACTCCGCAGAAAACTATGTGCCTGGTCAAACAGTCAGAAGCTGTAAAGAAACAGTAAGCTACTCTACGGATCTCCAAAGGCGGAGGCTGCATTTGTATTTCTTGGCGCAGTGCCATAGTCGGTGCTCTATTGCATCTGAGGACAGCAATGGAGAGTCAAGATCATCAACGTCTGAGACGTCCCTATAACACCCAAAACCGACACGGGTGCTGGCATCTCCACAACTCCTGAGAGGATGCAAGAACTTTTTGAAGAGTGTTCCACTACAAAATTCCAAAGTCCTGCAGGCTTCAAGTCACAAGGTCTTAACTGTTCATGGCATCATGATTGAGACCCTTTGCTATAGGCACAACAACTTCAGGACTGATATTTACATTGTAGGACTGGAAGAGCCCGTTCTACTGAGAGATGCAAGTGTATAACTAGGCACCATTCAATGTCCCCATCAAGTTGACACCTTACGGAGCAGTGCAGTCGACCCAGAAAGAAAATACCCAAAGTTATTTTCTGAACCAAGCAACCGGGCACACAATCAAACTAGGGCCTGACCCTAAGCTCTAGTCACTGATGAAGCCTCGAAGAGTGGCTCTTCCACTTCTCGATAAAACCAAGACGAAATTTGAGATAGCCAATATGGGAACCGTTGAGCTCCTTGAAAAGCTCCAAGATGGTGATTGTGAAGAAGCCCAACGGAGAAGTGTGAGATTGTGTGGACTTGACCAAACTGAACAAGTTCATCCTCTACCAAAAGGAGAATGCATTCTTAGACAGCTTGCTGAAACAATGTATTTTATGAAGGTGATGTAAATCCCAGATATTGGTAATTCAAGTTTGGTGAAGTCTCCAGCTTTAACGACTTTTATCACACCCTTCGGAAGGTTCAACTTTAAAATAATCACTTTGGAAATATCACTCGCTTCAAAATTTTTGCAAAAGATGGTCTTGAAGTTTTTGGGCACTCTTCAAGGTGTCATATATGGAACATGGACAATGTTCCTATCAATGCCAGCACTCAACAAGAGCATTATGACAGACTGCGGCGACCTCTGAAATAGATTTAAGCAATAGGAATGACTTTTAAGACAGAGAAGTGTGAATTCAACGTTAAAAACAAAGTTCCTGAGCCACATCACTGAACATGATGAAACTAGTCCAGACAATGCCTAACTCAAGGCCGTCAATTGACCTGAAGCCTCCTTCAATCTTCACAAACTGAAGTTTTCTGTGGTAACTCACTGTTCTTGCAGTGTGATACGTAAAATGTGCTTTGTAAGAACCAACTGCTCTAAAACCATTAAAAATCAAGAATCTTTCAGTGCATAAAATTGTAACCCTCAAGTTGCTAAGCTAGATCAAACAATTTTTTAGCTGCTTGGCCTGACTTTAGAATGATGTCCTTAAAATGCAAAATATTTTTTTCCAATTCGTGACCTCATACCTTAATTTAAAGGGCATGGGAAGGAACCACAGAAAAATCATTGGTATCAAGACCCTAGAAGCGTGTTTGGGTTGCAAAAGCTTATACATTTTTAAATTCAGTATAGCTCTTCACATAGGTTCATTACCAACAGAGCTCTGATTACCAATATCTGGTCTATTAGACCAATGTTAAAATATTGCTCAGTGAACTTTCTTAATAACACATAGGTGAGACAAACAATGCTGCGATTAAATGTAACATGAAGAGTATAGTCGAGTAAGAACACTATCATCACCAACAATGGTTTGCTGCTTTCGAGGATTTAAATTAGCAGAAGCAAGTAAGGACATGAAAAGTGGTGGAAGCAGTACTGGGTCCTTTCCATTTTTTGTTTGTGCTTATAGCTTTTTCTTGCTTCTGTCTTTTCTTTCTTGTATGAGCACCATTTGTCCGGTAAATTATGGCACTGCATGATTTCTTATTAGGTTGTGGAGGTTTCTCCATCCCATCAATGCCAGCCTTTTTTGTTTTTTGTGAGGTCTGCTTCCATCACACTTTCTTGCTGGTGACAAAGGTGACACTTTCAAATTTTCCTTCCTGTGGCTATCATGCATAGTATTGTCAGATCCAGAAAAGACCCCTTGATTTACATTTTCCTTAAGGGTCTACAACTGTGTTATGGAAGTACTGCTAGTGTTCTGGGAACAGATTCTCGACTGTGATGGAGGTACTTGAGCATTGAAGCACAAGCCTTAGCTGGAATTTCTTTGCACGGTGATGGCAGGCTTATTCATTAGTGTTAATAAGATTATTTACCGTAATGACTGGGAAGTCACTGATGAAACTAGATCTTTAACCAAGTGGTAACAACAGAGTGGAGATGAACCTCAAAACGCACTGAGCCGAAAACCGATGAAACAAGCCACTGTGTTATGTGGGTAACATATCACATTCAGTATTACTCTCTGACGAAGGATATCCAGGAAAAAGCATGCAAACCGTGTGGGGATTCCTCTGGTCTCCCTTCCCCGATGGCTGCGATAACGGCCGCGGGTCGGAACGCTCGGCCTTCTTCGCCGTGAGCTCCGACCTGTTCGTGAGGCGGAGGGCCGCCTGGCTTGGGGGGCTCTCCTCTCACTCTCTCCCGGGGGGGACCCCTTTCCGTCCCCCCGCTCGGTTGCGGATCACTGCTGACAGGCGAGGAGGTTTCGCCTCTTGTTTTCCCGCTTTCGGGAAAGGGGACTCGTCCGGGTGACCGCGAAAGAGATAGGACGTGCGTCGGCGACTTCTCCGACGCTTCCCCGGTCTTGGCTCTCCGGAACCCCGCGTCTGGCCAGGTAAGGACCTTTTCTTACCTTGCCGGCGCGGGGGGCATTTTGGATGGGGACATAGTAGTTCATTTTAAGAGTGTTCCAATAAATGCTCTTGGACTCTGTCCTTACTCTGGTACGTGTGTCTTCTCTTCCGCTATATTCGAGAGAGTGAGACAAGGTAGTCGATCATTGGCACCGACGGAGGTAATTAATCGAACCGACCCGCGGTAATCTAGCCCTAAACGTTCGTCTATATTGCCGCGGAGATGTGGGGACCGCGGGCTACTAGGTTTGACGTCTCCTCTGAGATATCGCCGCTGTTGAGACAACCCTTTGGTTACTCTAACGGTACCTGTGTTAGTTGGTAGCTAGCAAGATCCCACATAAAATGGCGCCCAACGTGGGGCCACGACTTCCTTTATCGTGGTCGTGGCTCCTGGCCTCCGTCCCTTTTGTCCGGCCTTTGCCAGCAATTCCTTGCCTTTGATCGCCCCGTACTACGAGCGTCTTGATCTCGCCACTTATGGTTGAGCGATTAATGCCGAGTCGGCAACCCGCAGTGCCACTCCTTTGAGCGAGCGCAGTGTGATTCGTACGCGTGTTCCTGTTTTGAATTGGCGTGCGTCAAGCAACATTCGTTGTTGCGGGAGGCCCTTTGTTCTCCATGCTTGAGGCGAACCCTTCACCTGTGTGTATTTGGGTTCCTTGCGCGCCACCAACAACTTGTCCTGAAGGGAAAATGTATATAGAAGTTTTGATGATGTTTTTGAGAACCATTCGGACTTTCATGTCCGGCGGCGAGTGAGGCTTGGCAGAAAAGAGTAGCGAAGGATCAGCAGTGCAGTCTGGGAATGTAAATATTAGCGTTTTCTTTGACTCTGAGTTGTCGCGGACACTCAGTTAGAGTCGGACGGTGCGCCTGCCAATAACGTCGATAAGTAGCTGGTACTGCTACTGACGGGCTCCGGGAGCCGGGCCGCGTAACCGTCGGTGTCGAGAAGCAGTTTCACACTGTTGACGCGCGCGCTGTATTCACTGCTGGTATTGCAGTGGGCGCGGAGGGTTTTTTCTTCGGGAAAGTTTTGTTTCTGCTTGATGCCAACGTACTCCTGCAGCCTATTGTTGTTTTCCAAGAACGACACTAGTTTTGTGTTCATGGTGGTGGTGCTACGCGGTCTGAGGCGCACTGTGACAGTATCTGGGTGTACGAGTGACTCTAAGACTTTCGGAGGTTATGTTGCTCGGAAACCCAGGCGCCGTGTGGCCAGAGCGCCCTTTGGCGATATCTGTCAGACTCGCGTGATCCAGGTGGAAGAGCGACTCTAAGACTCTTAGCAGTTACGTTGCTCTGAAACCTGGCCTTGCCTCAAAAGAAGGGCCCACACCGTTGTGAGTCCTTGATCAAGCCGTATCGAGTGCAAGACATGTTTTTCTAGCATCGGTAAGCTGGCTAGCTCAAATATTTGGCGAAGCTGGCAGGTTTGAACGTGTGAGCTGCGGCCCCTTTTGTCTTCCTCCGTGGGGAGCAAGATGGCGGCTATTTTGCGCGGGAACTTGCATCTTCCCCGCTCGCAGACGCGCATGCATGGCGGTTTCTTTCTATCCGCCCCTTCGAAGTCCCCGTATCCGTTTACCTCGACTTCAGAAGACGGGCCAGCTGCAGACTGTTATCTGTTTTTGGCCACTTATAGTTAACGGGCTCTTCCGGTAACTATAAAACCGGGTATTGTAGGCAGCCTCTGTCTTAGCTGCCTGCGCAATGGATTGAGAACTCGGCATGTTTCCTAGAAGCTCTCTCCCCGGTGCCCACATTAAGCGAACTCAATTAGTTTGCATGGTATGTGGACGCGTTTCGAACGGAGGGGCCCCCTTTTTATGGCTTCTTCCGGTGTCGAATCGGGTCACTCTGGCATGTTCCTGTCACCGTTGACAAACTGGCCACCTTCTTTGTGGTTTTTGTTTGTCGTTTGCTCCTGCCCGTGTCTGCCGCCTTTGTGGCCCGAGGCAGGCGAGCGTCGGTTGCGCGCGTCCCCTCGTTTGGAGGCGGCGGCGCCCTTTCTTCCCTTTCGGGAGGTCTACGGCCGGCTCTGGGCGTGTTGGCTGCTGGCGCAAAACGACTTCGCAGGTCTGCTCCGAGGTCGTCCACCCCCCCTTCACCAGCCCACTGCGGCCGAGATGGCGCCGAACCCCCCGGGCAGCGTGTCTGGGACTTCCCCAGCTGGTCTCCGCCGGTGGGCGGCGGTCGTCGGTCTTTTTTGGTGCTACCGCCTTCACGACGGCCTGGCTGCCCCCCACTGCAGGCCAGCTCGTACCGTGACACCTGGGTCCAGCGGCGTCAGCGCGGTGCCTGTGATGCTCTGCCGTGCTGTGGCGGCGACTGTCAAGTGCTTGGGGACTTGAACTTTCCGGGTCTTCGGTCCTGCAGGCCAGCTGTTGACGGCGGACACTGTGAAGACGCGCGCTGGGCGTCGCGTGTATTTGTTGGGGGTGCGCAGAGAGATATATTATTTTATGAGAGCAGGTGGGCCACCTTTAATCTTTATTGAGACCCACCTACCATTTTAAGGAGGGGGGGATGTGGGGATTCCTCTGGTCTCCCTTCCCCGATGGCTGCGATAACGGCCGCGGGTCGGAACGCTCGGCCTTCTTCGCCGTGAGCTCCGACCTGTTCGTGAGGCGGAGGGCCGCCTGGCTTGGGGGGCTCTCCTCTCACTCTCTCCCGGGGGGGACCCCTTTCCGTCCCCCCGCTCGGTTGCGGATCACTGCTGACAGGCGAGGAGGTTTCGCCTCTTGTTTTCCCGCTTTCGGGAAAGGGGACTCGTCCGGGTGACCGCGAAAGAGATAGGACGTGCGTCGGCGACTTCTCCGACGCTTCCCCGGTCTTGGCTCTCCGGAACCCCGCGTCTGGCCAGGTAAGGACCTTTTCTTACCTTGCCGGCGCGGGGGGCATTTTGGATGGGGACATAGTAGTTCATTTTAAGAGTGTTCCAATAAATGCTCTTGGACTCTGTCCTTACTCTGGTACGTGTGTCTTCTCTTCCGCTATATTCGAGAGAGTGAGACAAGGTAGTCGATCATTGGCACCGACGGAGGTAATTAATCGAACCGACCCGCGGTAATCTAGCCCTAAACGTTCGTCTATATTGCCGCGGAGATGTGGGGACCGCGGGCTACTAGGTTTGACGTCTCCTCTGAGATATCGCCGCTGTTGAGACAACCCTTTGGTTACTCTAACGGTACCTGTGTTAGTTGGTAGCTAGCAAGATCCCACAACCGTCTCCAAGGGTATCTCATTATGCAGAGAAAATAAAGACCAACAGGATGAATGTGGCTATTCTTCATAGCAATCCGTACAAAACAGCCATTGTTGGGTACAGTTACCTCCGGCGGATTTCCCGTGAAATGGCTGCCTCAAGTTTTATCTCAATTGCCACGATGTATCTTGGCTGAGTAGTTGTAAACCATATAACTGATGTAATGACAAAGTCATGTCATAGTAACATATTAAGTTCTTTGAACCCACGGATGCAACACTGGCGATGAGGTTGGGATCTGTTGTACAAAGAAGCATGCGATTGGGAACATGTATGTAAAGGAAGACAAAAAAAATTTCAGAGCATGAGTGCCATAAAGACAAGTCTTTCAAGTTCCTCTAGGCTTCAAGTCTTTTTCACACACCTCTTGATAATGCGACATGAGGCAGCTGCTGTGCTCTGCAACAGGATTCTATCATCTCCGAGGCTAAGACGAAAGTACTCCAGTTCAAAGAAACCTCATAAAAAAAAAACAGAACCTTCCACTAGGCCTGCTCTTTGAATGGGATCAGCGACGGCTCCGGCCCTTCAGCCTCCCAGGCCAGCAGCGAGCCTTCCTTTTTCAACCCATTCGCTGTCAAACTACAAAGTTGGATTTTTGGAAGCCAAACGACTGGAAGCGATGGATTACCCGGTGGGAATGCTACCAGATCACCTCTAGACACGATTTCCAAAATGCTTTGACGAAGGTAAAGACATTCCTGTACGCCGTGGGTAAAGAAGCGAAAGATGTTCTCACGTCACTCAACCTGTCAGAAGTAGAATTCAACGACTACTACATAGTGAGAAGGAAGTTCAATGCCCACTTTATTTGGAGCGTAGATGTCGTCTTGGAAAGTGAAACTCAACATAAGAAAGCAAGAACCAAATGAGACAGCAAAGGCTTTTATTACGGCCTTACACAGACTGGCAGATTCCTGAGACTACACACCACTTCGCGAGGAGCTCACCTGCTGCGATCATTTCATTGTGCACCTTCTAGACAGAAAGCGGAGCGAGAAACTCCACCTCAACGCTAAGCTCGCTTTTCAAAGCACGATGGCTGTAGTCCGTCCCTCAGAGACAATTAAGCACCAACAGATGGAGCAGTTAAGCAGTAAGAAAAAGTCCAGGAAAATTGAGGAGTTCAGAAAAGCATACTCTAAAGCGAACAGCAAGTGAAGGGACCCACAGGTCCAGAACACATTGCAATATCAAGGGCATTGCAATATCAAGGGGAACACATTGCAATATCAAATGCCAATGGTGCAGCAGCTGGCATAAACCCACGAAAACTCAACACACCGCAAGAAACAATAAGTTTAACACCTGCAAGAAAGTAAGACGCCTCGAGTGTGTATGCCTCTCCAAGCATGCATCACCGCCTTGCACATCACAATACAACAAGCCAGATTTAAATGTTTCCCTTGGTGAGCTGGTACATGCTGATAATAAACGCTGGTACAGTAAAGCTAAAGTTAATGCAAAAGGAGTATGCAGAATCCAGATACTGTTACTACAGACTTTGAGGTGGATTATGACTGGAGTCTGTTCTAACCACTAAGACTGACTAAATGGGAATGAATATTAGAAAACAACTGGCTCCTGGACACTTCTGACCTTTGAGAGGTAGTAACTTTACATTGAGCTATATTGGTGATCATCATCATCGTGCGCTATGGGTCATAATACGCTCACAAGACGCAGAGCACAATGACTAAAATTCACAAAATAGATGCCACCACTACTAAACCAAAGCTGCGAAATGTCCGAAATATTGACTGCTGTTGAAGGGTCCGTTATATCCGAATGCGTGTTATAACAAAAACTGTAATAAGCCAAGTTGGCTCAATGACATAGGCAGGAAGGACAAACAAAGTCGGTATGTTATAACCAAGTGTCTGCTGTTGCCAGATAAGTTGTAACGAGGTTATACTGTACAATGAAAGGAACAAGAGACAAACCTAAAAGCCTCGAGCGATGACCATTGGAGGAGAGGCGCATCTCGTACCTCTGAAACAAACACCAAAACTGGAGGGTTAAATTAAGTCAACAGCTAAACAGAAAGGACTGGCAGCAAAAGGACAGGCTCGCAGAAGCGTAGAAGTTTTGCATGTTGAAAGCTTACATGCGAGAAAGAAACAAAACAAAAAATGACCGGAAGCATCACTAGCCAGGAACAAAAAAAAAAAAGAAAACGTAAACACAGAAGGAGTGTACAGAACTCAAGATGTGCTGAAAGGAAAAGCAAACAGAAGAACACAAGGGGAAGAAACAAGCTCGTGCACATAAGAAGGCAGTCTTGGCATAAGCTTACATGCACAGGCACAAGAAACAAAGGGTGGCTAAAATGTCCACAATAAATAGAAACAAAAGGCACACACAGAAACAGTGCACAGATTGAAGGAAGTGTCCAGCAAGGAAGCAAATATGATAACAGCAGGGTAAAAGGACAATCTCGCATTAGAGAAGAAGTTGCACATAGGCTTACATGCAGAACGTAAAAAAATCAGTGTGAGCTGCAAACATGCTTAGCAGGCACGAAATAATAAAAACAATTTCAATACAGGAAAAATGCTAGAATGAGCGCCTTCCCAAACACAAGAAAAAAAGCAAAGAAGATATGAATGACAACAGGGAGGAAATGGCTACTGATGTCACTGAGACACTAAAACACTAATTCCTCCTGCGAGGTGCTGCCATTGACTTGCTGCCAAACTCTCTGTTCTCAGTTGCCTTAGCTGCAGCCTTGCGAGTTTTTTCACGAAGGAAAAGTTGCAGCCGTGCATGGCAGAAGCGCCTGATCAGTTTAGTTTTGATGTCATGGCACTCGGGCAGCCGAACACACTGGCACTCTGCGGCCGTCCTTGCTGACAAGCTGTCCAGGATACCTTGTGCACCTACTAAGTTGTGCATGATACTGCGAAACACGCTTTCGCACTTTGCAAACAGTGTGCTTGCAGCCTCAGAGGGGCATGTCAGCGCAATGGGGGCATAGTTCTCGAGCCTAAGGAGGCTATGTGCAGGCGTTGTGGTCACCTGAACTGCTGCAGCACAGATGTCGCACGTCACATTGTTCTTGATCACTGTGTGCACAATGTACCCACAGTAATAGACAAAGCTATTGTTCTCGGGATCAGACATCTGTAGCTCAATTTCCTCAGGCAAAACATCACTACATGCAGTTGGCACTGCAGTGAGGTCTGCCAGGTCAGTCAGGTAAAACGAGGCGTCGTCCAGTTCGTACGAGCCTGCGTTGGACGCCTTGAGGTACAGCGACAGGGCTATCAACTTTGGGGCCATCTTAAACTCCAAGGGAGTTGGTATTGGATTGCCCTGTCGCACTACCGAAAACAAGTTTTCCAGGCAGTCCTGCGTGAACCGGGATGTCAAAACAAAAGAAAATGAGTGCTTCTCGATGAGCATCTCCTGCAGGTCTAGAACTGACTTCGTTGAGAGCACTACCCCTGCCTGTACGGGCTTGTATGCCCCATCCCCAATTTTCAGCTGGCGAAAAAGCTGCTGAAACTTGGTCAGAAACTCGATTGCGCTTCTGTAGCTCGCCAGGTTTTGCTTGCTGATAGCAAGGACTGGGTGCCTGCTGCTCATGAGGTCGAACCATTTGTTCACCTGCTCGAAAAACCAGGCTGTGGTGAGGAAGTCCTGGCTCCAGCCGTGGTTCTCCACCAGGAAACGAAGCGCAGTGGCCGTGGAGTGGCTCAGGACCTGCAGGGCAGCGCTGACCTACAAACAACAGAATGAATTTTTCTTTAGTTTCTCATGTGCATAAAACGTTTTGTGAAATCAACTGAGGCTATGAAAAACTAAAAAGGTTGTAACCTCCTCCTCAGCAGAAGTACTATGTGAAGACTAACTGAACTTCCATTTAGGTTGCCCACTGGATTGCTTTTCTTAGGCCTCTTATTATTCTTTTCTTAGATGATTGTAATTTTTCTGCATACAGTTTTTCCTGGTGAAATTTTGTCTTAGGTTCTAAAACACATTTCGTGGTTGCAATTTTAAGCTCAGTTAGGAAGTTATAACAATTCCTAAATTATGACAAACATCTATTGTCAAAGAAGCATGGAGCCAATTTCCTCTTGTCTAGCGGGAGTGAAACAGACAGTGAACATTTTTTGATTGCAGCAGCAGACTTAATCATCCATATGGTAATTCCTGTTGCTTTGCTTAAAGCAAAAACATAGAAAAAATACAAATAGATAAAAAAATGCACCTGCCGCAAACAGCAGACACCAGTTTTTACAGGTACTGACCACTCACTTCCTATAAACTGCTGTGGCAAGTAACAATTTCACAAACGATCATGCTACATTGGTTGTTTTGACATAACAAAATGTATTGTGATCTATTAGGGTCTTATCTACCCTAAAACTATAGATGGAACATAGAGGGAGGCATCTCAATGTGACAAATATTTTGGAAATATTTTTTCTTTACCGGTGCTTTTCTTTGATAAATACCTGCACTTTGTCTGCACAGTAGTAAAGCAGACTTTACTATCACCTAGATAGTCTACAGGTGCTGAAAATATCAACTTCAATTTAAGAAGCACTCGTTAAATTTATTGAAGGCATTTGGGGGGTGGTGCCCCAGCTGTTTTCCAACATGCCCTATCTTGCAAGAAAGCTCTATGCTACAGCAGTCACAGTCTTCTATTATTAAAGGGGCCATGCAACAATGTTCGGACTTCAGTCAAATGATTGTGGCAGTTGCTCCTTGTCGCGTCTAAATTAAAGAACAAAAAAAAATTTCCGCCATGTAAGGTAAAAAAAATGTCAAACAATTGACGTTTTGGACACCTCCAAACCACTCTCACCTTGTACACTGTCTTCCGAGTCACGTGCACAGTGAGGCAGAATGGGGATAGAAAGGATCTGGTTGGATTCTCTTTCAGAGCCTCCAGTGCACATGACCTCACTAGCATTTAAAATGGCGACTTTTAAGGTTTTTCGAAGTGATGTGGGGAGGGGCAAAGATAAGCGAGGGGGGGGGGGTGAGAGAGAAAGAGAGAGAGAAGAGCTTGCTTCCCCGTAAGGAAGTTCGACTGGCTTAGTGGCACAACGAGGTGAGGCTCAAGGGAGGAATAGTTTTTTTTTTCACCTCGGGCAGATGGTGCCACTAAAACTGAATATGGTACAACTTTGTCGATAATGTGAAATGTTTGATGCATTTAGGTACTCATGCTGAAACGACAAGCCTAACCAATCGTGAAATTTATACTGAAGATAGTATTCTTACTGACCACATTTAACCTTATCACGCAAATGTGCAGTAACTTAACGTATTTATTCAAAAATAGGTCGACCTATTTCCGAACAATTTCTGCGCGTGTTTTTATCTGCAATGCTCAAGAAGAGCCAATCATTGCAATTTACGGAAGAGGCCCAGGAATGAGGAGGCACCAATAACGTCGGAACGCAAAATTGAGATCTATGTGGATCGTATTTTTTTTATTCCAAACATTATCTCTGCTTCGTCATTTGCCGTCTCCTTCCATAAGTTTTCAGGATTGGTCTCCATGCGTTCTGGTAAAAGCACAAACATAGCATAACAAAGTGTTCGTTCCCCTATAGAATAGAAAAGCAAACCTGTTATTTGCTGTAAATTCTCACCTTCATTTTCTCAAAATGATTTGGGTCCAGAAGCTCAGGGCGAAGTTTAGGGGCCAGCTTGAATGTCAGGTCCTTCTGGAACTCCACCAGCTGGCGAATGGGGTCAAGGGACACAGTGGGGCACGTGAGGTTGTTGGCGGTCACAACGTCTGTTGGCAGGACTATCGTCTGCCCACGCACAAGGTGCCCGTTCAAGTTCTTGATCAAGTGGGGAACATCAGCTAAAAAAACAATTTGCTCCCCAGGTTTTTGTGGGTGGGGGATCTTGTTTGTTGTTCTGCTGTACCTGCCAGAGTAGATGTCGAAGTGCTGCAACATTACGCGGTTACCACTACTCATGTCGCTCGTGACAGCCACAACCTGCAAGCCAACATTGTTGCACCGCTTGATGAGTATCTTGACTTGGGTGGCAGCTTCTTTTCCACAGAAGGAGTTGCCTGCAACAAAAGCATGAACGAAAACTGAAATATCTCAAAAGGCAGAATCACTCAGAGAAAGTTTGTGAGGCAAATAAAAATTACAGTTACTCCAAGCTATAGCTACTGAGAACGTAACAAATGCTGGGTGTGGACTATTATGTTTGTGATTCATTCTTGGGCGTGCCTATCGGCTAAGGCTGCACTAAGCTGCAGAGCTATACTCGGGTGCTCGAGACTCGCCCTGAACTTCTCAAGCTGTCAGTGACTATAGTTGTGACAACTCAATGCTTTCTTGTGCTTAGACCAAACCGTTAACCCCTATTAGATCAATCGTTTCTTGAAAATGCAAACACTTATGTCCACCTATGTCTCATTAATATGGGCACCGCACCCTATAGACAAACTCTTTGGGGACCGATCCATCCTCATACAATTATGTCTCATTATTATAGGCACCTGAGGCCCTAAGCTGGATGGCAGGACCAAGGGACTGGAACATCACCACCCGCCGATCTCGGGAGCATCACTGATGTAACACACGGCGCTGGCCAATTGTGGCGGTCGGCAATGTTACGGTCCCATCATTTTACCGTCCAGTCTAGGACCCCTGCAGTTCGCATCGTGGACAGTTAGCTTTGGAATAAACTGGGTAAATACATGCATTTTTGTCTCCTTATTGACAGAGGCTTTTTAAAGGCGATCCACAAACACACCTAAAAAAGGATTAGCGAAAGCCCTTGGTTATACCAGTGGTGGAACTGACAAGCAGTGATTTGGAGCAACTCTTGTAGCAGGGAAAAACGGGTTTTGGAGTAGAGATTCCCACTTTTTGAGCAGACAATTTTAAGCTTTCATGTCAGAAAATTTTATACAATTTCTTCGAGAGTTAGCCCGTGAAAAAAAAAATTGCAATTGTTGGAGTGTTGGGAGACTAAAGTGTTATACCTGGAGGGGACTTGGCCTGTACAGATATTTATTTATTTATTTATTTATTGAATAACTATATACCTGCAATTTTGTAGATGTCTCCATTAACCTATTAGGAGTACCAATGTTTTTGGCTGCTTTGTAGAGGGTTTGTATCAAGGTGACGTAATTGTTGAAAGTGCGACATCAAACGGACACTTTTGTGTTCACTGCCCTGCTGGTATTCAACCTGCTGCTGTTCACAAAGCAGCTAAGCGGAGCACACAGCTACTGTAGCCGATCACGAGTAGCGCTAGCTATTTATTGCAATCGATGTGAGCACCGTTTGCACAAAAACCGATAACTCTTCGTTATGCATGTGAAAATAATGAATTTTGCAGTCGAAGCAAATTCGAAGTGAATAGTGGTTTTGGCTGAATATTGTTTTATTGAATATTAAAGAGTTGTTGCGCCTTTCTCCTTGCCTTTTACTACTGTTACACCATGCTTAAACGAGAAGTCAGCTGAACTCGCAAAGGTTGTTCCCAAGCTCCTAATAGCCCAATGATGAGCTCTGTTAAATTTAATCTAGCTATATTTATAGACCAGCCTCAGGAAGTCCAGTACCTACATTGGGATGGCAAGTAAACGACAGATTTGACATAAAATTAAACCTATAAAGGAGCCCAGCCATACCTAAATGAGGGGATTCATAAATATTTTTGTTATATGAAGTATTTTCTTTTGATTCTGATTCAAAAAGAAAAGAAAACAAGCAAAAATAATGAACGGAGGTCTTTAGAACATTGCTGCCTAATATATACACTTCCATAATAGTCACAGTTAAATTTTGAAGATTTTACTGCAATGTAATATCAATAATCACAAATTTTAGTGTTTTTGTTTATTGCACCAGGTGTGCACAAGCTTTATACTAGTTTGAAGGTGTGTTTTTCACCTAAGCGTGGAGCTACGCTGCAGAGAAGCGAGTTGCGAGATCGCTGCGTCCACTCCACGGGTATGCGGAGCGATAGTTTGTCTGCTATTGCACAGGGGTCGCGATGATGTCAGAACGTCGAGCTCTTATTGGCTCATTGAAAAAAAAAAAATAGTGGGCAGACCTCAAGGCATCTAGCACCGAGGTCTAACCACTATCCTTTCAATCAAAGCCAATCAGAGCTCGGTGTCATTCTGACGTCCCCGCAATTCTTGCGCAAGAAGCAGACGACTTGCTCTCCGCATTGCTTCACCGCAGTGCACCGGCGCTTGAGGAGAAGCCACTCAAGGGGGCTAACGCCGCAATCAACGCTTCGAACAGTATGAATATCGCAGTTTATTTGGAAGGAAATATCAAATACCATAATATTTGAAACTACTATTAGTAGAGTAAAATATTTGTGCAACCCTACTCTTAGAACATAATACTTAGGCATAATAAAACTGTACATTGTTCATTTTCAATGGCATCGCCAACAATGCCACGTGCCAGACAGTTCCAGTTTCCTTTTCGGGAACAGCTCCCTTTCGGTGCAGACATGACGCAAATTGTGCACGAAAGCAGCCTTTAAAGCAGCACGTAGCAGGTTATACGTTCTGGAGCAGTTTGGCACAATTGGCGCAGCAGTTCCACCACTGTTATACAGTACACCTAGAACTAACGAGTCGCACATTTTCTGACATCCGCCTCAACGAGTAATGTGGTCCCAAGAAAATGATCCTTTTACCTATAATACAGAAATTTTAGGAATTTTTCTCATCCCTCGCTGAAACACCCGGTATAAAATTAAACACAACTCATTAAGGCATGCAAGCATGACTCACCAGTGTAGTGGTAGCAGATGACTTGCTTCCATCGGGAGGATATGCCAGCAATCATGAACACCAGAGCATAGGTGGCAGACGGTGGCTCGGGGCGTGGTTCTTGAGGCACGGGCACTGCTGTCTGACCTGGTCCAGAACTGGTGCTTGGTGGGTGCCAGATGGTGGCTTGAAGAATGGCGCTCCAGGCCCGAACACTGTTCTGAGACTGGGCTGGCTGGCAGGTGGTGGCTGTGAGGGTAATGCTCGGGGCACGGACATTGTAACGTAATCCCGGATGCAGCTGGTACTGGGGTCGTACTCAAACTTCTCAACAAGGGCCATCTCATCGAGCAGGAGAACGCATTTGCGCTCCTGAGGCTTCAGGTGCGCCACTTTTGTTTCCAGAAGCTTGAACACTTCCTCCAACACCCCAGGCTCGAAACGGATGCCTGGAATATAAGAAATTGGCAGCTTAAAAATATTACCTTTAACCATGCCAAAATCCTGGGGTCATAAACTAGTGTTCCCCTCTCATGCACATTTCAGCAATCCACAATGTTCACCAGAAACGCGAATCGCTAAAGAACAATCTTTGTTTGGAACCATAAATAGAGCAGAATCTTTATAATGACTTGGCAATAACCGAAGCTGGAGCTAAAATCGAAAATAATAAACAAGTTACTGACGCATTATAGCAGTGTATAGTGCCGCTTGGCATAGGCATGTGGCACTGAACACTTCTTGTGGAAGTAGATATCAGAGACGAAGAAATTTTAATGTCAAAATATTTAGCAATTTACTTTTGGTTTCCCAACGGTTCAATGAAAAGCCAAGCATTTGTTCATCAATTAAAGTGCATACTAGTTTAATATGACATGTTATTGGGTGAACATGTTATTTTGAGTACTATTATTGTTTTCTGCATGCAAGCCTAAAAACTATGATTTCTGGTGTTAGGTATAACACTAAAAGCACTGTAATGTCCCGCGTAGGCTACAAATTAATGCTCCTGGCAATGAGGCCAGCGTCGGCATGTGCCCCTACTGACGAAGCGAAGCTGCAGAGAAGCGCATGACCAGAGTGCACAGACGAGGTGCACAATGAGTGACTAATGGCAAACCCAGCTACAGATGCCATGCTAAATAAATCAGCATATCCGTGAGGCAACATCTTTATCTGTGTAAATACTACAAGCACATAGAACTGTATGGCTAATACTATTTTTGTGAAAATGTAAAAAAAAAGTGAAAGCCGTTTACAACTCCCTGTAACACCGAATTAGAGCGCAGCTCTTGAGGAGGAGGAGGGAAGGGTACTGGGGGTGAAGTGACCTGGGGGTGTCACGTGACTTTGGGGGTCACGTGACGATGCCGATGATGTCCTCAGTGACGTCACTGATGACGTCATCCGTGATGATGACGATGACAATGCGGACGCCGGTGAGGTCATGAGTGACGTCACTGATGACGTAATCCGTGATGATGACGATGACGATGCGGATGCCGGTGAGGTCATCAGTGACGTCCTGATGACGTCATCAGTGATGATGACGATGACGATGCGGATGCCGGTGACGTCATCAGTGACGATGACGTCATCAGGGAGGTCACGTGACCTCGGCGGGGGGTCACGTGACCCTGGGGGTGGTCACGTGACCTCGGGAAGGGGAGTCACGTGACCTTGGGGGTCACGTGACCCTGGGGGAAAGTCACGTGACCTCTGGGGGTCACGTGCCCTTGGGGTGACCTTGGGGGCCACGTGACCTTGGGGGGTCGCGTGACCTTGGGGTGACCTTGGCTACGCCGACGCCGACGCCGACGCCGCTCAAGCCGGGAACGGGCCCATAAGAGCTGCGCTCTAAAAACACTGGTGAATTGACTGTTCGGACCTTTGTTTCTATGTTTTTCTGTATATCACTGCTCAAAACTTCATATTAATATCGATACCAGTGACATTAGTGTTTTTCTACTTGCCTTGTGACCTTCTCTCAGTAAATGCTCATGCAACGAAAGAAAGGCAAACATATGTGCCGCACAACCTAGGCACACCTTTTTACATCCATATTTTTTACTGACTGTACAATCAAAAGTACATCTATATTAAATAAAAAAACATTTAATACTTGCTTATATTAGTGTTATAAACAGATAAAAAATGTTTTATCTTAATATGTCAACTCTTGTAGCAAATTATTGCAGATCTTTAAAACCATAGACAATAGGCAGAAGAGCCTGTGCGCTGAGAAACTGAGGGAGAGGAGGAGACAAGAGAGGACGTCACAGCGCCGAGCTCTAGTTAGAATGATTAGTGGGTAGGTTTGAAGCTAGCAGCCTTTGTCTCCACCGCACGCGTTGAATGTGTCAGAACGCCGGCACCTGGCACTTGGCTTTCACTAAGCCTTCCAACCAGAGCTCGGCGTTCTGATGTTCCCGCGTGCTCTAGTTTCCTGCTCTCCATTAGTTTCTCGGCGCATTGATTAGGGATACTAACAATGTTTTCACTGTTATTTTTTGAGCAATGTGTAATCCCAAATAAGTATAGGTGTCCAGTTGGCAATGCATGCAGCAATAAGTAGGAAGAGCCAAATAATAAAAAGTAGTATATTCTTTATTGCATGAACAACCTATAATGACACCAGATTATTGTAGAAAAAAAGCAAATGAGCACACATATCAAAATACCCACTCACTAACGTGCATGATGCCTGTGAGAAACTATTTCATCAGATATTATCTCAAGTAAAGTGGACTCGTGGTAAATCAAACTCGGACATTTCATACTTCCGGTTAATTCAAACTAATTGAAAACTTTTGGTTGTCCCGTTAGGTTTTCAATGCATTTCAAGCTGTTTAATTCAAACAGCATTTTCGTTTAAGGGGGATACTACCCAGAAAACAACAATTTCTGCAGAAAAAGCTGATTTTTAAAAATGCCATATTTACATCCACCAACATCTAGAGCAGGGATGGCCAGGCTGACCCGGCCTAAGAGCCGCAAACTAAGGTCCGCCAGGGGGGGGGGGGGGGGGGCAAACGTGTCCAGAGCAGTAAACGAAACTTAAACTACTTTCAATCTATCCGAGTCAAAGGTAGTTCAACTGTACGTAAGGTAGTATGTAGTAGCACAAGACTACCAAACCACAACCTGTTTTTCAATTTACAATGCGTTGCATTTCTCTTTTTGGGGAAGTGGTCGTGTGACCGGGACGGGGGCAAGGTAAGGGGGGGGGGGGGGGGGTAAGAACCGCGAGCCGCACTTTAACACACGAAGAGTCGCATGCGGCTCGCGATCAGGGGCAGGTTAGCCACCCCTAATCTAGAGAGTACTATTCCCAGAAAGTTTCATTAGTTTACACTGCATAGCTAATTTTTTTATAAATTATTTTCGGTCCACCGATGCTAAAGAAAAGGTAGAGGTTGGAGCACTTTGAACACATTTTTCTCCATTCCACTTTTTGCCATAAATTTCACTTTAGGAAAACTATTGTTTGTTAATGTGACAAAAGGCAATACTCAATCATTGTTTTTCCTAACCAAAATTTTCAGGGCAATGCAACTGTGGATTTGTTTTTTACTTTCTGGACGTATTTTATGAAAGACGTTAAGATTTTGTCGACAACATAAAAGGCAAAAAGTTTATCTGATTTGTCACTGCAACGTTAGCATAAAATAAATTACTTTTAGAAATTTTTGTTTTCACAGTTGCTCTTTCCCGGCATTCTGCTGCAGATCTAGTGAAAAAAATGTTGGATATTATATTAGTTTTCTAATGATAGTTTTAATAAACGAAGTAAGTGTGTTCCTGATAAAAACAACTATATTTTTGTTCACAATTTATGTATTACAGATGAGACTGCACTGCATTCTGCCTCGCAACTGCCAGTATATACTGGAAATTTCATTCATATTCAGCCAAAGGTTCAAAAGCCGACCCTCTTGGGCAGTGCCCCCCTTGATTCATACAATTTGTTTATCACGGCGGGTTAGCCCCGTCGAGTGCACTTCTCACCGAGCACCTGTGAACTGCGCAATAGCAATAACCGCGAAGCTCGCAGTCATTGCTTTTCTGCAGTACGCGGGTGCTTGGTGAGAAGCACAGTCAATGGGACGAAACCACTGAGATTATGCAAGCAGAACTGTCCTGACAACCTGCTTTCATTATTCATGCTTGTTTTTTTAAGTTTTCTATAAGGAAAGAATGTTTGCATATAGCAAGCAGATTTATATATTCCCTCCATTAGGATAACCGGACATCTCTTTAGGTTTCAATTTATGTCAAATCTGTCATTTATATGCCACCCCAATGTACCTAGGCGTTGGAGTTTCTGAGGCCACGGTTCATAGATATAGTTATATTAAAACTAACTCTTCCTAAAAGTGGACAAGTGGAAGGTTTGGAACAACTATCATGAGATCAGCTGAAGTTTTGTTTAAGCATGGTTCAACAGTAGTAGAAGGCTTGGAAAAACTATTCGATATTCGATTCGAAAATATTCGGCCAAAACCACTTCTATTCGCTTTGAACTTCACCAATGTTTTTTGTGTGTGCTTGCTTATAAATAAGCCTGTGTAGAGGCAAGTATAAAGAATCTGCTTGGTGTGTGTAGTTATTCCTATAGCAAGTCACTACTTTGCCTCATATCATATTTAGATGAATTTCTGATAATTCAAACTCAATTTTGTGACTTCCTGGAGTTTTAATTAATGGGAGTCGACTGTGACGAAAAACCAGTGCAAGGAAATATATATTTTTCTAATTGCCTTCCGTTGTCAAAATCAGAAGACCTACACTTATTTTCAGGACATTCATGGGCAGGGCAGATGATATACATATTTCAAACAACTCATCCTCATCTGGTATGATACTATAATTTACTTGGCAAATGTGGGTTTGTGAATGGTACATGTTAACAAGCTCAACAAAGCTTTCTGCACTGGGCCACCGAGGCATTTAATTTGATAAACGTGACTACAAGCAAAGTCAAAGTGTTTGCCTCAACTCCTTACTCAGTAGTTTCTCATTAAAATGACTATAGATAGCTCAAGCATTTTACGTTTTAGCTTATTTAAACTGTTAAGGGTTAGGACTTGGACATTTTTGCATTGTCATACATTACGAGACCAAGTTCTGTTATCTATTTAAAATTGGTCTATTCCATTTCGCCTGTGGTGTGTTGAGGGTCTAGTTTCTGGCAAAGAACATCCTAAGACATTCTACTAAAAAAAAATTATCTTGCATAAAAAAAAAAACGTAAAGGGAAGACAGGAACGTCTGAGGATTTCTAAATAAATATGAGTTAAAAGTCTATCTTTTATCATTAATTTTTCAGCATTTAAGTCAAGCCCAAGTAAGCCAGTTTCAAGAAAATGCTATACTGATAACAAAAGTTATTCACCAAAAGGTCTAATTAATCATAAGTAAACAAATTTTCTAGTTTTACAGCAAGGAAAGCATTATTTTTCCCCATTTGAGTCTGGTAATTTCACTGCAATACTTCATTTCAGTTTACCCAGACGGAGCTGATGCTACGAGCTGATGGTACCAATCAGACAGAGTCAAAAAGGGTGCCATCATGGTGTGTATAATGTTTCTGCTTGTGCTGTATGATCGCTGAAACAAGCATAAAGAGACAAGGCCCAGTAGCCTGTGCTTCTGACACTGCTTCATTGATCCCATTAGCTCGTAGTGTCGGCTGCATCTGGACTTAAGCTGAAATGAAGTACTGTAGCTAATATACTTTTGGCATGCACAGCACGATACTTTTCACAAATCACAATATGTGAAATGCTAATACATATATGATAGTGGCCAAAGACAAGGACAAAAGGAGAACTGGACACCATTGTGTTCTTCTCAAATTCAGCACCAACTCGTCCAAATATCAGCACTGACCAGTGAAGTAGACCTGCCAAAATCCCCATGTTTTTCTTTGTAATCTTATTATTTTATTTTATTACCATGGCTAGCAGGATTTCCCAACATCCGAAGGTTTGAATTTACTTTGTAAACCCAAAATAAACATGTAACAATTTAAGCTTGTGAACTTTATCTTAACTTTTAAATGCAGCAGCTCACACACGCAACATGTTAACATGGAAATAAATGACCACTTTGATTTGAAGAGATAATAATAGAGAAAACTACTTCCGACACAGCAAAGAGGAAACCACAATCAATCCTCAATATCCGACTGTGTTTTTAGCTATTTTAAAATTAAAACAGACCACCTTTATGATTTTAACAGAACTTGCATATCAACATAACCAAGCAAAAAAAATTGGAACAGCCCTTTAGTAAAATATTTTCTACATAAGAGTACTGCTTGATTTTCTAGCAAGAATACCAATTTCACTAACTGATTACATGGGGCTCTGAAGAAACCAAGTAGTTCGACAGCAAGCTTACCCTCGAGTCTCCGCCGCAGTGTTCTGGCCGATGGCAACGGAAACCCCTTGTCCAGTAGCAGGTCATAACCGGTGCTGCCACAAGCAAACCGTATCTGCAATGACGACTTAACCGTTGCATTTGACCACTTCGACCCCCTGTTTCGACCCCCTGTTGCTACTCCTTGACAAGGCAGATAAGTGGTCTGCAGAAAAGAGTTTTTGAAGATGCGCATGGAATGTCTCTTCCTTAGTCTTCTGGATGGCAGCCTGCCTCGATAAGCGACGATTTTCATTTTCAAGGCGCCTGATGGTTTGGGTCATCTGCTCAAACACATCGTCTGTCAGGCCAGATTGAAGTGTCGATGAAAACACTGGCTGGAGGGTCCCACAGCCCCCGGCAGCAGGTTCCTGCGGACAAGGTTTAAAAACTGGTTAGAGCCAGAATTCACACCAAACTGTGCAAGGACTGTGATGCGTACCAAACGGGCAGAGGCCCTCTGCTGGTCAGGGGCGCTGGCAGGATACTGCTGCAAACTGCCGGCTGCCTGCAGTATCAGGGTCGGTAACGTTAACCCTGAGCTACGGAGGGAGCTCGAAGATGCTTACGAAGAAGGCTCCACTAGTCGAGGGCACGGGCTGTTGGACAGCTTGCACCAGAACCGCATGGCCTCCGGCAGCAGGCTCCTGCGGACAAGGTTTAAAAACTGGTTATTGCCAGAATTCACACCAAGCTACGCAAGGACTGTGATGCGTACCAAACGGGCAGAGGCCCTCTGCTGGTGGGGGTGCTGGCAGGATACTGCTGCAAACTGCCGGCTGATTGCAGTATCAGGGTCGGTAACGTTAACCCTGAGCTATGGAGGGAACTCGAAGATGCTTACGAAGAAAGCTGCACCAGTTGAGGGCACGGGCTGTTGGACAGCTTGCACCAGAACCGCACGGCCTCTGGCAGCAGGCTCCTGCGGACAAGGTTTAAGAACTGGTTAGTGCCAGAATTCACACCAAGCTACGCAAGGACTGTGATGCGTACCAAACGGGCAGAGGCCCTCTGCTGGTCAGGGGCGCTGGCAGGATACTGCTGCAAACTGCCGGCTGCCTGCAGTATCAGATTCGGTAACGTTAACCCTGAGCTATGGAGGGAGCTCGAAGATGCTTACGAAGAAGGCTCCATCAGTTGAGTGCACGGGCTGTTGGACAGCTTGCACCAGAACCGCACGGCCTCCGGCAGCAGGCTCCTGCGCACAAGGTTTAAAAACTGGTTAGTGCCAGAGTTCACACCAAGCTGCGCAAGGACTGACGCGTACCAAACGGGCAGAGGCCCTCTGCTGGTCAGGGGCGCAAGCAGGATACTGCTGGAAACTGCCGGCTGCCTGGAGTATCAGATTCGGTAACGTTAACCCTGAGCTAGGGAGGGAGCTCGAAGATGCTTACGAAGACGGCTCCACCAGTTGAGTGCACGGGTTGTTGGACAGCTTGCACCAGAACCACATGGCCTCCGGCGGCAGGCTCCTGCGCACAAGGTTTAGAAACTGGTTAGTGCCAGAGTTCACACCAACCTGCGCAAGGACTGTGACGCGTACCAAACGGGCAGAGGCCCTCTGCTGGTTAGGGGCGCTGGCAGAATACTGCTGCAAACTGCCCGCTGCCTGCAGTACCAGGGTCGGTAACGTTAACCTTGAGCTACGGAGGGAGCTCGAAGATGCTTACGAAGAAGGCTCCACTTGTTGAGGGCACGGGCTCTTGGACAGCTTGCACCAGAACCGCACGACCCCCGGCAGCAGGCTCCTTCGCACAAGGTTTAAAAACTAGTTAGTGCCAGGGTTCACACCAAACTTCGCAAAAACTGGAACGCGTACAAAAAGGGCAGAGGCCCTCTTCTGGTCAGGGGTGCTGGCAGGGTGCTGCTGCAAAGTGCTGGCTGCCTGCAGTATCAGTGTCGGTGATGTTAACCCTGAGCTACAGAGGAAGCTGAAGGTGAGTCTCCACCGGCTGAAGGCAAAATTCATTCTCAGTCTCCCAGTGTTGCCTCGATCGAAGAGTCATAGCACATACCCAGTTAGCCGAAGCTGATAGTTGTCGACGGATGCAGCAGCACAAGTGAGACTCATATATGTGCCTCTTTCCTGGAACTTAAGGTTTGCACCTACATTGCACTAGGGAGCAGGAGTGGATCAGCGAAGTTCACCAGATGATGGTCGGTGCTGCATCATGCTGGAACACTGACTGATGATGTCTCATGCACTCTTGCACAAATGCATCATACTCAGCAATCAATATGCAAAATGGCCCTGAGGCTGGGGATGTGCGGATATCAATATTTCTTTTTTTTTTTAACATGCATATATAGACACTATGTTTATTGTAAGGATAATGACAGATGTGTTTAAGGTGTGGTGTTGCACTGTATAACATTTTCAGAACTTATAGACATCTTCATGATTTTGTTTTCGCTTGTGCAGATGGTCGCAGAGCGTGCATGAAGTTTCCAGGACGCATCACCGCACATTCATGTATATATCCCACCAACACATAACGGCTGAGCTAGTTTTCTTCCGTCGCGTCGCACTTACTTGGCCATTCGGTTGAGAGAAAATGGTGGGAACAGCTGTGCTTTTCAGCTTCCTCCAGCCATCATAACATCTCGTCTGGAACTGGGAAGGGTCGAAATGGGCCTGCAGTTAAGTCGGTAAGTAACTTTTTGAGCGACATCAGCAGTAAGACTGCAACCGCTCCAGCATACGAGAGGAAGGTAGGTCTGCGCTTTGGGAACACGTTTCAATGATTCCGTAGTCACATTTATACAAATTAGAAGACATTAGCAGCGACCCCGATCAACAGAGCGGTTACCATCCAAGTAAGATTAGGATACGTGCCAAACGTCCGGCACCGGAGACGTGCCATGTGGCACGCACCATCGAAAAACAAAACTGGGGCTTAATTTTGACCACCTGAAAATATTTTGCAATAAACCGCCGTCAGATCTTGAGCACCTGGTGATCAGTCATCTTTCTGCAGTGCAGCGGAAGCGCGCAAGGACGCTGCAGAGGCACTGCAAAAGCCTCACCTCGCAAAGGAAAGTATAGTCCAGGGGATTCCACTTCGCGCCGCGTTTGATTCGGTCCAGCCACAGCTTCCTTCTCCTCGGCGATTTCGGGAGTTTAAACACACGAGTGACGTCACGAGGGTCACAAGTGACGTCACTCTCATGACGTCACACGGGCATACCCTCCCCTTCCCTCCTCCTCCAGAGCTGCGCTCTAATTCGGCATTACAGAAGATTGCAAACGTCTTTCTTTTTTTTGAAAGGATGACAGAAGTGCAGGGTGTCTCCTTCAAGTTTCAGGCCTCCAGCACGCATTCGTTGCCTCCCATTGGGCTTCAGCGGCGCGCACACGTTCGAAGATCACGAGATGTCGCAGTGTTTTCGAGGTTGTGCTGGAAGCGGGAGAATTGAAGGACCTTCCTGTCGGTCTTATTCGCCGTGGGAAGCTCAATAGGGGCGTTTCTGTTTTCCTGAATCTGGGTAGTGCAGGTGTTATCCACGCAGTTATGTTTTAATTTTCATAACGAATAGAATCACAGAAGCTTGGCATTGCACGGGCTTGCACCAGAAGAGGACGTTGAAGCATCAACACTCTGGACTGTAAAAAAATTCAATCGGGCGGCATACCCAAACTTCTCGCCGTGAATAAGCTGACAGAGGAGCGCAATCTCTCTTTCTTTCTGCCTTCCTCTTTCTCTCGAGTTCTTTCTCTCTCTCTCTCTCTCTTAAATTGGATTCTCTCTCTGACAGGGCAGTGAAGGCGACAAGCTGACACGCGCGAGCTAGCCCTGCTCCTTGCTTTGAAATGTGTCTTTCTAGCGCAAGCGGTCGTTCGCGAAAAGCACGTTTCGAAGCCGCGATCAAGTGCCTGCCTTCACTTTCTTCCCAGGAAGTTCCGAGAAGCATTGTGGGTGGACCGGTTGTTCGCGCTAATTAAGAATTTGACGGAGCTCCATACTCTCGGTCCTATTGTTTTTTGTTGTCACTGCTCACAACCTGGAACATCGAGTATAGATGATTCCATTCTTAGAAAAATAAAAAAGTCCACACGCCCGTATGAATATTTTGGAGCACGTCCCGTGAAATTGAACAAACAACTACATATCTCTAGTAACTTTGGTTATAATTAAACGATAATTGACGGCTATATATATATATATATTCTTTTTTTAAGGATTGAAAGGTTACATTTGAAAACGTAATGTGCAGTCATCTTTCGGGTCACTAACACAAAAATGCAAACTCTGACACTCGTCAAAACCCTGTCTCAGTAAAGGCTGGATCACACAACACTTTTATGACGGCTGCGTTCACAAAACACAGAAACGGACAGAAACGATCAGAACACCGCTGGGACCGTGACTCGTGATGGCTTCGTGAAGCCATCACGAGTCTAGCTCGCCCCGTTGTGAACGGCCAGCACTTGTTCCGGTGACTTTGTCGTTGCTGACGCTTCGGTTGCTGCGAACGGTCCAACCTTAAAGCGCAAAAATAGTTTCGATGTCGTTTTCAAATAGTCGCCGACAGCTTCGAAAACGCAGGGCGGAGATAAGCCCTTGGCGGGGCTATAGACACTTTTATCGTGTAAAGTGCCATTTTGAATACTGTAGTGCCATCTAGCGAGCGCCAGGTTCCGCGGTCATATTGAGTGGTTAGAAGCGTTGGCGAAAGTGCTCTTCAGAACGCCGCTCCCGCTTTGGGTGTGCTAGTTGGGCGCCCCAAAGCGCTAAGTATACGCCTTGGGGCACGTCTTGTGTTCTTGTGTGCCGCGGATGACCTTTTCTCAACTCACTGGTAACTTTCCTTGCTCCGCATGATGGCATCTGGCAGTGCGGCGATGCCGAGAAGTGCGGCACTGAACGTGCCGCAGATGGAGATCAGGGGCGAGTTCTCAAAATATTGTATCAGATAGCAGCAATTGAATTTCCCTTCAGGTTTCTTGTTTTAGATGCAATACACTGATCATATTTTTGGTGTTTTGTGTCGTCCACAACAATAAAATATAATGTGTACAATGACGCGCAAAATGAGAACATTGCAAGGAACGATCAAAGAGCTCCCTCCGGCTTGCAGATGTTTATACTAGTTTTAATCGAGGATCCTGTGTCGACGAGTGTGTCTTTGGTTGAGAACTGAAAAGAACAGGGTCGAGATTGGCATACTGCCGGAGGGAGTCGATCAGTGATTCAATAATTTGAAATTGATGAATGAGCATGCATCAACATTAGAATTTGAGGTTTTTTTTCAGCTATATTGTGTACTAATTTTCAAAATAAGAAGAATCCACTCGCATTGTAACGGTCAGCATAAGTTCACGGCTCTTTGGTATCGGGCAGGAGATCGCGATTCAGAAAAACCTCTAGAACTAACTTTTTGACGATCCCCAGTCGCACCCGGCGGAAATAAGCCTTCAACTAAGCGTTGTAGATTATAAAATTGAGTCAATCTCCCCACTGCAAATTATAAAGATTAACATAAATGAAGTTACGAAAATTTGCAAGCTGAAACAGCCAATTCTCACGAGAAAACTTGCACGCACCTTGCGAGCGTACGCCATGTTCATCGACGGTACAGCGTTAAGTTCGGTGCGCGCTCCATTCACAAAATGTTCCGAGCACACTCGAGAGGATGGCATTGAAGGAAAGACTTTTCGGTTTACGGACGCAACCCACTGCCGCCGGAGGTCTTTGTCATTTGGAAAGCGATGAAATTTGAAGACACTGCAGCGGCAAGTGCCTTGTCGGATCTCGTGCGCGATACAGATCTCCTCCGATAATATTCCTCACTTTTGATAGTTATTTATGCAGGTTATTACAGAACAATGGTGTCCCGATGACCAGGGGATTGTCGTCATTGAATCTGCTAGCTCTAATGAAATCTGGAAGTAAAGAGATGAAGGAAACAGCGGAGAAAACAAGCTAACAAAAGAAGCAACACGCGCGTCCAAGACGTTCATCCGCGTCTTCCGCTCGTTCCTAACTAACCAGCAAGGAGGAAAGCTCCGGTAGCCCTTTCCCCTTTCCTTTCTTGCCCTCTTTCAGTAAAACGGTTTATATGCGCCGAGAAACTGAGAGAGATTAGGAGCAGAGAGCGTGCGGTAATGCGGGAGCGCTGAGCCCTGAATGAAAGGGTAGTCAAAGTCCGTTGCAACTCAAGAAGGTAGGGCGAGGGTTAGACGGGCTGGGGGAGGAGGAAGCAGGCGGAGTGCTAAAGAGGGAAAGATATTTCCTTTTCTCTTCTCCAGCGTTCCGTCTGCTTCCTCCTCCCCAGTCCGTCTCACCTTCGCCGGCTGAACGCAGTAACAAAAAAAAAAAAAAAACGTATATCCGCTGCCCCGCATTGACGACACCCTGGAGCAACTGCGCCACGCCCGTTACTTTTCGTTGATGGACTTGAAGAGCCGGTACTGGCAGATAGAGGTCGACGAACGAGATCGCGAGAAGACGA